CCTGAAGAACACTTCTCTCTCTGATATAAGGTTGTCTTCTTGGAGCAAGGGGGAAGCTGGGTAGCCTGCTCCAGCTCACTCCAGATACACAGGGGTGGCTAACTTGGTACACTTTGATTTAGTGCTCCAGCTAGGGTGGAAGAGGTGGTTAAGGTGCTAGGTGGGCGCTTTTGAGGCCTTTGTTCTATTCCCTGTTCCACCACAGACTTGTGACCTTGGCCAAATCACTTAACTCTCTGAGCCTCATCGGTAAAATGCAGCTAAGAGCACTTCCCTACTACACAAGGTGTTGGGAGGATAAGTATGCTAAAGATTGTGAGATATTTAGATTCTTCAGCAATGGGAGCCCAGTATAAATACCCTAGAGTTCTATTTCCCCATCCAAAGTCCCTAAGCATATACTTAACTCTAAGTATAAACTTAAGTCCCAATTACTTTAATGGGACAAGCACATGCTTAAACTTAAGCAGTTGCTTAAGTACTGTTCTAAATAAGAAAGAATTTAAGGGCTTAAGCCCTTAATTAGCAGGGAGCAAAGGAGCTTTGCAAAATCAAGGCTAAATGTAGGTATGGATTTTTGCAGAAAAGGAGGTAGGCACTTCCACCTCACCTCTTTCCTTCCGTAGGAGGACTGGGAAATATTTCTGACCTTTTAACACTTACATGCTCAGACATCCCACAGTGCACTGACTTTCTCTTCAGAAACAATGGAGCATAGAAGCAGATTACATTACAACATCATTTGGCCAGTATTGATATCATAATATGACCAACAGTGGTACAGTTTTACCTATATTTTATCTAATATTGGTATCATTTGGATGCTTAAAACAAAAACAGTTACCCATAGCATATAACCCAGGCAAGCTTGTACCCAAGTAATGAATTTATAGTGTTTTAATAGACTGCAAATTTCAATATTGGTTTCATATAGAATTTCCCAAACAAAATGGAAATAATTCTTGCAGAGCCATTTTCTTGCATATCAAAGAACCCCAGTTTTCTATTTCTGTTAAAGCAGTAGCAGCTTGAGAGGAGAAAGTATAATGATGGCAACTTTCCAATATCCAGGGAAATGATTTCTAAATGACAGTTTATCGTTAGTTAACATTTATACTAAGGTAACACCTAGAGGCCTCAACCAGATTGATGCTTAAAACAGCTACAGTAAGTCAATTTCAAAAACAGAAATGCTGACTTATCTGCTCTGGCTTCTTTAGTTATCTTTGAGCTGGAGGGAATGATGTGCAGCTCTGCTTTTAAATGGCATGTCACACATTTCCTGAGATTTGTGTATGGCAATTAAGGAAATGGGGGTGTGTTTTGGGGGAAGAGAGATACTGGTGGGATGGTGGGTACTTATTGTCTTTTACATGAAGAAAACATATGTCTTTACAAGAAATCTTGTTCACCCTTTTCCAAGATACACCTACATAGCATGCTCATGTGCAGCAATCATTTGCACAAGGCATTTTTGGGTGAATCATAAATCGAAGGGGTGGGTGGAAAGGTGGGTGCATGTGCATATTAAACTACATATGTATATCTCCTAATTCTTCTTGCTTACACTCTCATAAACAGGAAAACCAATGTGTTCATTTAGAAAGATGACCTGTGTTCACAGTGGGGATAAAAAAGCCTAGAGACCATCTCTGTACACATTCACTGTGTCCCATTGCTTGACTTCACTGAAAGTTTCATGCCATGGTTCATGTGGTCTGAACGTTCTGGATTGTTTGATCCAAACTGTTTCAAGCATTTCAGGCATGTTGTTTCACTAGACCAGACAGCACCCCTGTTCTTCAAAGCAGAGAAATTTATATGAATTACACTTCTCTCCCTCATCACACCCACAACACTGGCACTTTTGAAATTTGAAATTATTGTTGCTTCTTAATTATTTTTTTTGAAAACCTAGATAATGTTCATTTTTCTTAAAGGAATAACAAGGTTGAGAAAAAGAATATCAAATTCAGATAGGGCCATCACTTACAGAATGTAAAACATTCTCTTTATGCAACTGAGTACAAAGCTATGAATCAACATACTTCTGAAGCGCAGATGCAGGTAAAAGTTAAGATAAAAGTTATTACATTGAGTAATCTCAGCCCTCTGGTACTGAGTCCAATTATAGCTCTCAAGGGATTCTCAGGCAGCATATGCTCCATGGAGGATCAACACACATTTTCTCTTTGACGAATATGAAAGCTTTTAATATGTGATTAGATATGGAGCAGAAATATTAAAGGAGACTGGCAAAGGAGAAAAATGGGCTATTGTCCGTTTTTGCTTCTCTGTGATGTATAAAGAAAAGCTGAAATCTCCCATATTCCTGCTTCCTTCTCCCACAATTTTTTTCCTGCTGTTTTTTACATTAGAAATTCAGGTCTCACTTACATTGGGTTTTTCCCTTTTAATACTGTTTGGATGACCAGAGTATTGATAAGGTTATGACATCATAGGTCCCAAGGAAGAAAAAACCAATTAATTGAGAGGGGATATGTTTGGTTACTTTTGTTTTTGTTTGTTCTTAAACACTCATGTGTTTTGTTTGTTTGTTTTTGTTAATGCCAATTAAATTTTTGGAAGAAAAGATCCCTTTGTTAAAAATCCAATGCCCTGCACCTTCGGTTATCAGAAAGCAGAGAGAGTTTGTAACCACTGCACTGGGGACACCCCTGGAAACATTCCTGTTATATCTAACATAAAAACAAGCAGGATTTTTTGTTTGGCAGTTGGTGGTGAATGATTTGTTTATTTATTTAAATTGCAAAAGAGACAAAACTTTCTGGTCAAATTGGAAAGAAGCTATTTATAATATCTATCTTCCTTTTCTTTGATGATCACCTGAGCTTGCTTGTTTGTTAAAGTGATCATGTCTTTAAATGTATTCAGACACTGCGAGAAACTTGGTGCCAGGAAAGCTTGTTTGTTAAGAGGAATTATCATCCTTTGGTCAACGAATAGTAAAAATGAAATTATGCAGCCTGTGGTGGTCTAATAGTTGGATCCCAATAAACCATACATTAGTGCTGTAGGCCTGGATTTAGAAATGGGTTCATCCTTTTTATTCTACAGAAAAGTAAAAGCTGGATCCGCTGTAGAGCAGGCCTTGCTTCTGCTTTCAATGAATCTATCAGAGCTTTTTTTAAAAAAAATCATGTAAAGTAGCATCTGGCATTAAGGGCTCAAGGAGACCAGTGGCAAACTCTTGTTGATTTCACTGAAAGCAAAAGTGGACCCCAAGGGCTTAATTCAAAGCCCACTGAAGCCAGCAGAAAGACTGCCACTGACTTCAGTGGGCTTTGGATCAGGCCCTCAATTACTAGAAATAGACAAAAATCTTTCTCTGTCTTCAAATTCCTCCCTAAATCCCAGTTACTACTTCAGAGATTCTTTCCTGCTCAAGGCCTTATCTGGAGAGAATCTGAGTGGTCCCAAGAGGTGCTGAGCATCCTTAACTCCCATTGACTCAAAGGGAATGGGAGGGGACCATTTGCAGAACTGGGGCCCTTGGAATCGGCATCATCTTGGCTGGGTAACCTGTAAATGCTCAAGCTGACTTTAGCAGGGCTCCATGCAGGTACAGCCGTACGCCTGTATGCTACACAACAACCGATTTATTGAAGTCTTGTGGTATCTAAACTACAGTAGTGGCTTGATTCTGCTTACACTGAAGTTCCTGACTCCACTCCCTTTTCCTTAGAGGAGTGGAAGATCAGGTCCTAGTTTTTCTCACATCTCCGCTATAAACTTGGGCAGGCCAGTGTTCCTAGTTACAAAAACCGATAGACATTTTTTGTTTGTTTGCATATTTAAAATGTAATTGTCTTTTTAACCAACAATTTAAAACCATTTTCCATTCCTCCTCTGAGGATTTCTGATCTAAATAAATTATAGCTTTAGAGAGTTTAAGCCCAGATGGATCATTAGATCATCCAATCTGACCTCCTGTAAATCACTGGCCATTCAGTTTCACCCAATTATCCCTGCATTGAGCCCAACCACTTGTGTTTGACTAAAGCCAACTTGTGTTTATCTAAAGCATATATTCCAAAATAGTTTGATAATGAAAGAATATGTGTTTCTTTAAGAAATAAGCTTCTTCATTATAGCCTAAATAGTGCATTGTTACTTATTCCAAACAATCGCTGCTAAACTTCCCCATGGTATAGGAAGAAGGGTTTGGAGGAAAAGAAACCACAGAGAGGTTGCATTGCAAACTATAAATGAGAAGAGTCACACTGCCTCCTTCCTCCCCCCCCCCCGCCCCCGATAAAGGCATTCTACTGTGTATCTTACTTCCCCATTGAGCTCTTTCTTCCTAGATAGTCGGAGTATTCTACACCACTGGAGTTGAGATGTGAGTTCTCTGGACACATGACTTTTCCTGCACTTTGAAAGAAAAGTTCCTTTGCAAAGTCCGCAGTGCAGGAGGGTGGAGAAAGGAGAGAACACTACTTCCTGCCCCCTTCCTCCTCCCCCCCCCCCCGCCCCAAATGCTGGCAGATCAATGCCAGAATAATACTTGCATCGCATGTTGCAAGCCTTCCTCAAACTTCGTTGCAAGGCTCATTGGTCTCCTCGGCTCCATGCATTTCCATAAACGATTAAATGTTCCTTTTAATGTTCCCATTAACTTGTTTAACTTCCCAGTGTCAGCCTTTCCTTCCTACTGCCAAATTAACAAGCACACTCATTCCCTATACAGAAACACCGGTTCCACGTTAGCAGTAAAACCTCCAGTAAAAATACAGCTAGCCCAGTGTAATAAAGAGTACGGCTCCAGGAAGATTTATTACTCTGAACAGCTGAAAGCTTACATCTTTGTAAATCACATTTTTAATAATGAAACATGAGCAGCACCATAGCTTTTCCTGACCCCCTAGGCATAGCTGCATGAAAAGGCAAAGGACAACCTTGCAGAAGAATCTGTGAACTATGAAGATAAATGATAGAACCCTGTTCTTAAAGTCATTTTTATTGGTTGTATCTTACAGCTGATTACAAGGAGAGCTTTAACACCATCGGGAATATTGAAGAAATTGCATACAATGCTGTGTCCTTTACTTGGGATGTCAATGATGAAGCCAAGGTGAGTTGCAGCACAGAGTGGATGTATTGTTATTATGCTATTTATAAATATAACCTTCCACCCCATTCACCATTAACAAGCATATGAAAGACAGAAGTGAGCAAGTTCCACATCCTCAAAGCCAGCGCAGTGAAAGCTTGGTCACTCACTGACTGATGGCGTGATGGTGGAATCTCTACAAGGCCAGGTGATGTGTGAGAGTAGGAGCCCATCAAGAGGAGACTCCTGGAGGAATGTTTCAAACATAGCCAGGTCCCTGTCTACTAAAGTGAGGTGCAAAAAAGTGACTGTAAAAATGGCATAGTGTGGGTCTATATTTATTGACTTTCAATAATTTCCATATAAAATATGCTCAGTTTTACACATAATAAGAGGGTGATTTTTTCTAACTGCCAGATCTGCCAACCCAAGCTGAGATCTGAGACTCAAGCTGGGGTCTTCCCTTCTCATGCATCATCACCAGTAAGAAAGATTCTGCAAGCCAAATTATGCCCTCCAGGGTCTGCGTGCCATAGTTTTCAATGGGGTTGTAGATGGACATGAGTATAGTATACCTCTTCTGCCTCATAAGTGGTGTCATCATAAGGCTTAATTAATCTTTGTTAAGCTCTTTATATTTCTGTGGAATCCATCATCCAAGACTGTCAAAATATTTATCGTTATAATTCAGTCACTTTTAGGAACTTGGTACAGTACTACAATTTAAGGGAAAAGATGAATGCGTTTCACAGGGGCAATTCCCTGTAGTATGCCCGTTGTGGTCTCTCATGGCTCTGCAGGAGCATTGCATTCAAAGCTCACTTGGGTTTTTCAATCAGTTACCAAGACTATGGTTCAAAACATGTACCCCCTTGGTGGGGTCTGATTGGTTAAGTCTTTCTCCAAAGTGTAACTCAGTTCGTTAGGTGCCCCAGTTCACGCCCCACTTTGGATCTACATGAGAGTCCTGATCAGGAGGCCTCCCCAGTCCCCTTCCTGAAGCTTGGACTGTACTTCAAATGGTCACTGTTTCTTAGGCCAGGAGTCCCCAGCTCTCTTCCCTGGAGCTGGGTTGTACCTTAGGCTGGCTGTAGGGCCTTAGCCAGCTTCTCCCTCCGCTGGCTCCTTTTCCTTAATTAGTCCTCAAGCTCAGAGGGTTCAGCAGGCAGCCTTCTCCTGCTGATGTCTGCCCTGCTATGAGGGAGGAGGCAGGTGGCATTATGCCAGTTCCCTTCTCCCAACTCATCCCCAATTGGGTTGGGTGAGGGGGAAGCTTTGCCCAGCCCAGTCTACAAGGTTCCTGGGCCCTTACAGAAACAGTAATGGATTTTTCTCCCAAACACTGCTTATTCCTGGGGCTGCTTCTTTTCCACCAGTACCTCTTATTTCCTGCCTTTGCATACATCAGAACCTCCCAAAATCTTAAAGGGTCTTGCCATGTGATGGGAGGGTCTGGACCTCTGGGCCCCACTACCCTGTCACATACTGATACAACATGCAATCATATGGCCATGTAAAACTGAGGAAAATTGCTTTAGAACCAGTGAAGGTGACCCAGCATGAGTGCAGGAATCTGACCAGCCATCAGGAGTGACTATGAATGAATGTGAGAAGGGCAAGTGATATTTTTTTCCTGAGTTTCCTGTTTCAAAGAAGGTGGATTTTGCTATTGAGAACAAAAGCTACGGCTACAGCTGGTGAACATTTTTCATTTACAACTTTTCTGTGGTGGGGGAGGAGGGAAGGGAAACAAAAAATGGACTATTTTCTTCAACTGATCAGAAATGAATTTTTCCTAAATGTTGTTGTGTAGGAATATTCTAATTCTTTTTGTTTTCATTCTGCTTCAAAACCGAAAAACATTCAAAATTGTGGATTTTTGTGCAAAATGAAAAATCTGGTTCCTGCACAGCTCTCTTAGATGAGAGCATTTCTGCCTGCAGGAATAGATGTAAATTCTGACTAACATAATTTATTCATGGAGATACAGTTAATCAGAGATTGAACTGAGTGCATATTCATGTCGAGATTATATGGCTACCTAAATCAGTATGAGTTTATCTAAACTTTCACCTATTAATGCTTAGCTGGATTTCAACTGGCAATTTCTGGGCTTTTCCAATTTTGTATTGGCATGCAGGTCATTACATTAAGCTGTACAGATGCAATGATATGTGTGAGAAATGAAAAGCTGTAGGAAATGCTAAAAACAAGCTTGTATTCTCTAAGCTTTTGTCAGCAAGCAAAATGTGCAGTGTAAAAAAGCTTTTTAGAGATCTAGAAATGATAATAAATATTGAACACTGTCAATGTTCATCAACAACATCTGATGAAGTGAGCTGTAGCTCACGAAAGCTCATGCTCAAATAAATTGGTTAGTCTCTAAGGTGCCACAAGTACTCCTTTTCTTTTTGCGAATACAGACTAACACGGCTGTTCCTCTGAAACCTGTCAATGCTCAATAGATTATGGGCCCAGCTTCATTTTAAATACAAACCACACTGTACTAATGTAGCACAAAGGGGCTGACAAACCCAGAAGGACAGATACACTCCCAGCCTAGGTCCCCTCTCCATCCTACCACAGCAGCGTTCTACTCATAGCAGACTGCACTCCGAACTAAGCAGCAGCCTCAGCCTCCGTTCCCCCAGCTGTTTGTGGATTTAACTGGGAACACTGAGATTATTTTAAAAGAGATTTTTATATTTAATCCATTGTAGAAGAAAAAATACAGTCAACACATCTTTAAAACAAAGGTGTTGAAAAGCTCCTAAGTTCCTTCAGACCCTGGGCCTTGTTAAACGGTATAATTGTACTCGGCCTAGTTGCCATGAAAAATTCCTCTGGGACTTCCAACCCAGCCTGCCCTCGCCTCATGCCCAGGAAAAGTAGGTGAATCCAGCAGGGTGTCCAAGAAAATCCAAGGTGGGAAGGGAGAGCCAGAGCTGCATGGACCCCTCATAGAGGGCCTCTCTCTTGCTGGCACCCTTGTGTATATGGTAGGAGCATGATAATGGTAAGGACACTGGCATGGGGAAGTTGGTGTCCAAAGTAAGTGGTGGGGCTGGCAATTAGATATCCCCCTGCCCGGCAAAAATATTTGACACCCCATCACACATCCTTCCAAAATCATTTCTGCCCCGCCCCCCTTGCAAATAAAGATCAACTAATCAACTTGGGGCTCTTCCTACAATGAAGGCTAGAATCTGCCTCCTTCCGCTCCTGCTCCCTCCATTGTGGAGAGAAGGGAAAAAAGAAAGGCAGCTGCCACAAGGACTCTTTGTTTAATGAAGGAGAGGGGATTAAAGACCTGGGTGTCATAGGCCGTACTTATAGGATGGGGGACTCTATACTGGGAAGCAGTGGCTCTGAAAAAGATTTAAGGGTCATGGTGAATAATCAGCTGAACATGATCTCACAGTATGATGTGGCCAAAAGGACTAACATGATCCTTTGGTGCATAAACAGGGAACTTAAGGAGTAGAGAGGTTGTTTTACCTCTGTATTTGGCAGTGGTGTGACTGCTGCAAGAACACTGTGTCTAGACTGGGTGCCCACAATTCAAGAAGGATGTTGATAAACTGGAGAGGGTTCAGAGAAGAGCTAACAGAATGATTAAAGGATGGAAAAGATGCCTTGAAGTGATAGACTCGAGGAACTCCATCTGCTTAGGTTAACAAAGAGGTTGAGGGGTTACTTGATTATTGTGCGTGAGTACCTACACAGGGAACAAACAGGTAAAACATGAGCCAATGGCTTGAAGTTGAAGCTAGACAAATTCAGACTGGAAATAAAGCATACATTTTTAATAGTAAGAGTAATTAACAATTGGAACAACTTACCAAGAGTTGTGGCACATTCTCCATCACTGACAACTTTTCAGTCAAGGTATGCCTTAGGAATTATTTTGGCCTTTATTAAACAGGAGGTTAGATAAGATGATCATAATGGTGCCCTCTGCCTTTGGAATCTATGAAATTTATTATTTTATAAAAACTCATTATTTGAAATCCAATCTCATGATTTCTGGGTGCCTGGCTCCTGAATTTTAGCTACTTGGCGTTGGCAATTCTGTAACCAGCCACAACTGATACTGTCAAACCGTACCTGGCCAGCACACCAGGGGCTTTAGAGAGGTACGCCTCTGCCATTCCATGTGAGATAGGAGCAGAATGGCCAAGGGAGCTTTCTCCCACTCTGCCACTCCAGTCACTCCCTCTCCATAATGTTAAGAAGGCAACTCTCTCTTGCATCACTGGGAATTTAAAATAATACGAGCTAATGAGTCTTTTTAGGACAAAATAGTGCTGCCATGCTGCTATGCATGACGTCACTATGCATGACGTCTGGAGAACCTGTTTCCTGCAGCAGTTGTTCATGGAAATGCATGGCAGCCTGTGCTTAGTCATTGACATGATCATCAAATATTTGACTCAAAGTGGACTTGAAATCTATGTGTATTGACAAGAATGAGATGGTTAGTGATAAATGTGGGAGATGCAGTTAGCGGGTTATATGATAACACGATAGGTACAACTTGCTGCGAATTACTACCATACACTGAAACGTATTGGCCAGCACACACACACAATGAGCTCGGGATGTGATTCCCTTGCTTGTGTACACATGCTCGGTCTGGGTTTTAGGCGAGCTAGTGTGAATATAAACAGCAGTGCCGCTGTGGTACCACTGGTAGCAGGAGGGCAGGCACAGCTGAGCTGTGCCAAGTACAAACCCACCTGAAACCAGTGGGTATGTACTCAGCCGGGCTCAGACATGCCCTATCTTCAGAGTTAGATTTTTCCTTTCTCCGTTATTGCCTGCTCCATCTGGTGGGCAGCTGATTTAGGGCCAGATCCTCCCCTCCCCCCCCATATTCCAGCTGAGTGGAACAATTTGAGGAGAAAGATGCTACTCAGCCTGAGTAAGGGAGTCAAGATCTGGCCATCAGCAAGGGAAGGCTGTCCAGAACTTTCACACAGAATATCAGTTTGGTCTTATGTAAAGGGAACAAACACACA